GGCGGTGATGACTAACTGCCTTCCCTCTAGCCTTTCACTGCTAAATTAGGTACGGCTAACGCAGATAGCCCTCGTGGAGCTTTGCGCGAAATTAAACACAAAAAAAAAATATTTTTTGTAACCTATATTTTATCAGATCAAATTTTAAAATCTTTTGAAAACAAAACTTATTCAACCTTGTTTTATAAGGAATTAGACTTAATTTTCTTTTTCAGGTTGATTGTTGTTAAGCACAAAGTTACACAATGATCTATCTGCTCTATACCCACCATGAGTACCTAAACCCGATGTTTAGCGTTATAAGCCCCCTCCGACTTAACAGTTGAGCCAACGGGGAGGTGGGCTTCGGATAGATACAATGAAAAGTAAAAATTAACAAATAACTGAATAATAGTGTTTATAAAAGTTATTCTTAATTAGCGGCGTACTACTGCATTATTGCCTCTTAGTATTATATTTCTTTACTTTGCAGTTGTATTTTCTGAAACCAAATGTAAAAGCTACATTGTCGGCTACATTTTTGTCTTTAATGTTCTTATATTTTTAAGTCAGTTGGTTTCTTTAGTTCGTAAATAAATTTGTTGCCGGAAACATTTACACGGAATTGAACATATTTAATTTTACCACTCCGATAGATTAAATGATTTTTAAATGTTCCGGTTATGACTTTGAAATTGTAATGTTTTTAAAAACTACCTGTATTTTATTTGTTTGTAGCTTCTTCTTTAGCACTCTGAAAATCATCTTTTGAATAAGGATAAGCAACTGTTTGATGATGAAGTTTAGGTACTTCCATGTCAGTATTTTATTTCTGAAGATGTGAAGAAGTGTTACTAATTCAAAACACGCAGAGTCATCATATATATCTATATTATTTGAAAATGCCCTCATTAAATGTAAAGATACAGAAATTATTACTTTTATTTAGTGTAACTTGGGAAATTTAGAAGTATTATAAACAGCAAGTTTTTAAAGATTGTATTTTTTTCACATAATTTGTAAATTTTTGTATGTGTTCAGGAATTGTTGCGAATGTATTATCACAGATAGAGACTGCCTTTGACGTCTATTTTACCGTGCACGAATTAGCCAGTTATTCATATAACGTATCATACATTTTTATTTCAGTAAATATTACAGGACTTGAAGACTTATTTTGTAGTTTACTTGCTTAACTATGGTAATCGTTTATATTGCAAACGACTTTCATTCTGTTAATTCTATGTCAACTTTTTCTTCGGTTTTTAAAGGTTAATAAAATAAGGATTGCACTCTTTCACAGAGAGAGAGAGAGAGAGTTTGAAGTTATTTAGATCTTTGACTAAGGTGAGCGTTCTGTTGGCTCAGTGGTAAGTCTGAGGGCTTATGACGCTATCTATCGGGTTTCGATACCCGTGGTGGGCAGAGCACAGATAGCCAAGTGTGTAGCTTTGAGCTGATCAACAAACAAGCAAAACTAAGGCGTACCAATAAATGTAATCCATGTCGAGTTTCCTGTTACACTTAAATACACGTAAATTTCATATGGAATACATTCTTTATTATCCACCTAGCCGAACTGATGACATAGCTGGGTGTAATTCGTGTGCACAAATCGTTAGGTCCTAGGTACAAGCCCTCGATATGTCATTGAACACGACCCGCACTTATAGCTATGGATATGTTACAAAAGTGACATTTAATCCCGCTATCCAGTTAAGAATAACCCATGTGCGGCGGATGTTGTTGACCGGTTGCCTCCCTCTGGTTAGAAGTTCAAAATTAGATACGGCTATGTTTCATCCAGTCATTTAGCCCATGTATTTCGTAAGCTGCTTTTCAAGTTGAAAATACCACATTGTTTGTTTGTTGTCAAGCGCAAAACTACACAATGGTATATCTGAGTTCTACTCATCGCGGGTATTGAAAGCCAGTTCTTAACGTCATAAGCCCTCATACTTACCGCTGATCCTCAGTGGACAGAGCTGTTGTAAGTGAAAACTGTAGTTCTCAGCTTTATTGTATGAGGAAATGTGTTTAATAATTCAGTCTTTACCAATTCACAATGAATAAAACCCCATTTGATAAGTCTCGTTTTAAAATTAGACAGCCTTGAATCTTCGTTTGTTATGAAAAAATACAAGGATATAGGATTTGTTTGTTGAATTTCAGGCAAAGCTATTTGAGTACTAGCCGTCCATAATTTTGAAGTGATAGACTAGAGGGAAGGGAGCTAATCAACACCACCTACCGCCAACTCATGGGTTATTCTAATCAAATAATAAGATTTTACCGTCACTCTTTTAAGGCACTCATGGCCCCAACGTACGGAACACGACTTTTTTCCGGGGGTAATGGGTCGTGAAACACGTTTGGTGCCACAGTCCAGCACGCTAACCACTCGGTCACGCTCCACCCAGGAAGTGGGGTGCACCTATAAAAAAATTTACACCACAAGTTTGTTTATGTGTAGCTAAGCACAAAGCTACACAATGGGCTATCTGTGCCCTTCCCACTAAGGGTATCGAAACCCGGTTTCTAGCGTTGTAAATCCGTAGACATACCACTGTGTCACAGGGGCAACACCACAAGTAATTTCTAGTTCTTAGACCTATATAATTAAAAAGAGCCAAATAAAGATTAAAGCTTTTGTTTAAATGTTCTAAACTTTTCAAAAAGGGGCTTTTATTTAATGGCAGCAATAGGAACTCTGTAAGTATTTTTTTGTTTGTAATTTTTTGAAAATTTAAAAATCGAAAATGAAAATTTTCTTGAATAGCGTTTTCTTGAAAGAAACATAACAGGACATTAATTATTCACATGTGCAATTAATCTTTATTCGTACAGTACTATTTAATAACCTTTTACATTTTTACAATTACGGAATTTGAAGTTTTCAAAAGAGATTTAAATCACGACTATCCTCATACATTCTACACATAATCTAACCTTGCACTCCAAGAACATATTTCTTATGCGCTTTCCTGTTTGTCAACCCTTTTTATTTCCAGAACGCATGGCGTTTGTTTTACTGTCCAATGGTGTGTTGTTTAGCTGGATAAACTCATTTTCTACTCGTTTACCACGAGCTAGAACGAAACCAGCAGGAGGTAGTTGTTTTTTCACACCTAAGCGTTCCTTTCGTTTTCCACGACTGACGAAAAACCCAGGCAGAAGCTCATTTTCTCTCTTGTAGCTCGTATTATCTCTGCGGCCTCGACTTCCAATAAAATCTGCTGGGAGGTTATTATGGTGATCTAAGACAGTTTGACTTCTGCGGCCTCGACTTCCAATAAAATCTGCTGGGAGGTTATTATGGTGATCTAAGACAGTTTGACTTCTGCGGCCTTCAATAGCGAACAATTCCATTGGAAGAGCATTTTCTGGATTGGAAATCATTTGATCTTTATAATTCTCATATTTCATTAAATTCAGTGGAGTTTTGTTATTTCTTTTGAAGTCTGTTTGAACCTTACGGATCCAATCGTCCATAAATTGTGACAGATATATGTTTTCTCTTTTCAAGCCCGTGTAGTCTTGACGACCTTTTGTGTTTCCTTGAGCCCTCCGACCTTTACTGCCCATAAAACCAGGGGGAAATGTATATTGTCTCTTGAAATCCCTTTCACTCCTTAAACCCAGACTTTCCATCTTCTCTAACAACAGATCAAGATTATTTTGGCTCCTGCGTCCTCGGCTGCCCATAAATCCAGGTGGAAGGTCATCGTTCTGTCTTTTAAAATTCACTTGACTTCTTCGGCCCCGACTGCCCAAAAAACCCGGTGGAAGATCTTTTTTTCTTTTTAACTCTCCTCCACCTCCTTGCATCTGGTTACCAGTGAATACCTCTGTCATATAGCCTTGTTTTTTCAAAATTACTGAATTTCTTCGATCTCCATTATCCATAAAACCAGAGGAAGGCTCATTCCTATTGAAATTCATATAATCTCGAACTAAAGTGTTATCGTTAGCGATACTTCTACTAGGTCTTTTTAAAGAACCCACTGAAATACCAATAACATTTTCCAGAGACGGTCGTTCTTTTGGATGATCCTTTTGTTTCGAAGCTGGTTTTAGGTTTTCCATAGACTGTTCTTCCTATGAAGAATCAAAGACTCTCTTAGCACGACCTTGTGAAATATCAACTATATGAAATACATCTTTACTGAATAAGTATATATATTTACACATGATGTTAAGGAAGCACGTAGGTTCAAAAAAATCGATTAAGGATAAAATACGAAACCAGTTTGTCCCTGATTAAGAAAGGTCCACCTTTCAAAGGGGCTCAGGTTTTTGGGTTTCGTCAAAAGAATTTTTAGACTATTCCAACTGTATAGATAAAACTGAATCAAAATTAAAGGATTAAGTGTTTCTGATTAAGTTTAAATACTTAAGCATAGTTACTAAATGTTGAACAAAATCGCATGAATTTTCACTTACTACATTGGTGCAAATTCGTTCCTTTGATTATATATTATTTTTACTACTTAATGTTAACATAATTTACAAAACGAAAAGAAACCTTCGTCTTTTAGGTATGTATTACACTATATAATTTACTGTTGCCTTTTATAAGTATTAAACCTTATACACAAACAAGTATATTATCAGATAAATGCGTACATAAAGAGTCTCATTCATTATCATGATCACAGAACAGCATTACATTTTATCATAAGTAGCACTGGAAAAAATACTTACAAAGAACAATAATGCCAATTTTTTTAATATGGTATTTGAATTTCGCAGCTTTTACAACATTAAAGTTTCTAAATATTGAAGGACCTGGACGTGGCTGAGTGAGTTATATACTTGTCAAATCAATCTAACTTATATACATTTTTATGACACTAAGTTATTTCATAACATTCATAAGCTTTTGTAACCAAATGGAAAGAAAAGTGGAACAAGTAAAGGCAGTGTTTGGTACTAAATAAAAGATATTTGGATATACAAACACAGATAAACATATATATATATATTTACACACACACTTCAAGGCAATGATTCAGTAGGCTCAGTGCCAACAATAATACAAGTGGCTCCCCCTAAATCTAGTTCGATTTGTTAGTGCTGCTTTTACTCCAAGAAGGTGTTTTATCGTATTACAAAATCCAACTATCCTCCCTTTTATGTGTCAATATAAATGTGCATAATTGTGGTCTATAAACTAATGAAAAAAACAAGTGCATCGAGAGGCACCGAAATTAAAATTTTCGATGGTTGTGTGGCTTCTTCGTCCATATTAAAAAATATATTTTATTTTAAAAAATATCAAAAAAACAAACGTGGACATCACACCTTTTGTCTACCAAGCTATCGTGAATGAAAGAACAATTACACTCATTGCAATACAACACTTACGTCAAAGGTATTTTGGAGTGTAATGTTGTCTAATTGATCATCCTTAAGTGTCACATCACTGATTATAGATGCAATTGTTGTCTTCAGCGCCACCAACACCACAAGAATGAAACACGAAAACATCCTCATTCTGATTGCTATAACAGAAACAAAGTTAATTTGTACTGAAAATTAGTTTCTATATAAATTATAACAGCCAAAATCATTTATTTATGAAATATGTTAAACGAGTTTATTTAAGAGAATTTAACTTAAGAGTTAATTTAAGAGAAAAAATGATGTATATAACCGGAGCAAGAAGATCAGGTAGAAGCAATTTTCTCCAGGTATAAAATGTAATATACATGTATAAAGTTTTACAAAATGATGGAAATGTCCCCAGTTAATTACATTAGTTTATTAAAATGTTATCTAACTTAAAAATCTATACGCGGGTACGTATATTTCCAACTTCATCACTTTGAAATAAAATAAATATTTTCTTTTGCCTCTTTATGATAAATTAAATAATTTAATGAAAACTCTTATTTAATTTGAGATTAAACAAGCATTGTATATAAGTTATCTATTGTTTGTCTATTTCAAATATTCCTGCAAAGCAAAACAAGGGCTACCTGCGATAGCCGTCCTTAATTTTGAACTGATAGAGTAGGGAGAAGGCAGCTAGTTAACAGCAGCCACCGCAATATTCGAGCAATTCTAATCTAATAGTGAGATTTGACCGTCACTCTTATTGCGCATCCCTAAATGTGGAAAGCTAGTTAGAGTCAATAGGAGGCGAACCGTGAACCCTTGTGGTTAGAAAAATATCAAAGAAAAATAAATGATTTTTATAAATCGCAACGAAAAGAAATAAAAGAAAATTAACAATTTTTATAAGCCACAACGAAAACGTTATTGAAGAGTTACAGTTGTGTAGTTAAAAAACAACTTTCGATCTTGCAAATTCAGGTCGTCATCAAATGTAATCGTTCTGAACTTCACTGTCCTTTCATGCCCAGTACGTGTAAAAAGTTTGACACGTGACTTACGACATTATAAAACAAAACAAAATAATATTTCAAATGTAAACTTTAAATAATTCAAGGTTGAAGTGGTTGAAAAAGACAAATTGAACCATCTTCATGGCTTTAGATATACATAAATATATTATGGTTTATAAGCCGAAAATTAGCGGGATATTTTCTTTCTTATTTTATTAGCTGCTTGTTAAAAACCCGAATTGGACAAGCTAAAAGGAAATTTTTGTTTGTCGTTAAGCGCAGAGCCATAAAAGTAAATAAAAGAAATCTACAGTCTGAGTAGTTTTATCACAGATATTAAGATTAATGGATTCTAATACTTTGTCCGTCTTCAGCGTTTAAGCCATAACTTTGAATTGTTTACTGCATATGTAAGTACCATTTCATATAGACATTTGTCCCTTATAATCCAATCCAGCTGACGAATTCTAGTACTAAACGAAATAACTCCTGGTCAGTGACTTTTGGGAGATAAAAATAGGCTTGAAATTTTATTTTCCTATGGCACTGTGTGGTAATGGCGGTGGTTAGACCTGGTTCAATAGGGTCCGGTTGAAAGCAAAAAAAAGTAATGTTGTGGTCGAGTAGTTAAAAGATTGGTATATTTGGATAAGATATTGATGATCCAGTTTAAAAGAAGTTCTGTTCTTAAAGAGAAAAGAGATATGGCAAAAATATCTTAGTAAAGTGGAGGAAGCCTTACGAATAGAATCTTTACAAAGAGACTAGTTTATTTTCTGATGTCATGGGAAAGAGAGAGAAATGATTGTTAAGAATATATTTTGAATATAACGAAAATGAAAAGGGAAAACAACGTTTTCCAGTATTAAATTTGTCCAGTATTGTTCTACAAAAGATTTATGTAATTTTACAGCTCCGCCTATTAATCAGAATGCTTTAACGTTTTAAAGTATGTCTAGATCTCCGAGTTTACAATTTTTCTAGTTGAATTAAGCCTAGATCAGGGTAATGGTTATCTGTGTTTAAAATATGAAAGAAGCTTCAGCTTATTATTTGTTTCTTCGGGTACGGTTTTGCACCGGTATTAACGAATGCTGATGAAATGGATGGACTACTTTTTTTACACATTCTGTACATTTTAAACTTAGTACAGAGTTTTCTAAGACTATATATTTTTTTCTGTTTTATCTGTAGCGTTATAAAGCTTAATGTTAATGTTGTAAGCAATCGATAGTTTATGCATATTGTTCATACTCCAAATGCATGTCTAGAAACTAATATCGCCATTTTTATCTTTACACAACATACACGTCTTAAAATTATTATTAGTTGAGACTGGAATTTGATTCATTCAGATATTATGTGAATGTTTCAGCCATAGAATGACCATTCTATGAAACTTTTAAAATTTAGATATACCAAAGAGTTATATATATATATATATATATATTTCTTTAACTTCAAGATATCCAAACTGTTGTTCCATAATTGTTTCCAGACATGTGTTAAGCTCGTTTCTCCTTAATTTCAACCTAATGTGGAGCAAGTCATTTTGAATTATTTCCTATCAAATTAACAAATCTTTGAACCGTGTTTTAAGAACATCTTTTGCCTTGGTATGATATTGTTCATCAGATCTCAGCACCGAACTTGAACAACAAACCAAGGGAAAAAAAAAGACCATAAAACACAATTTTCATGTCAATGACACTACCTAAACTCACTCAGGTACATTAACCAAACACTTTACGTAGAACGCCACCCTATAATAAATTGCAAAGTGGCGAAACAACGACGTTTCGGTGCTGTGATTCCAATGATATTGTCACTTCTTTAATATATCAAATTACTATAGCACTTTTTGCTCAAAGTTTAAATGGACCAATTTTTTACAAGATTCTAAAGTTGGCGACTTGGATTTCAAACTAAACATGATTTGTATGAAAGCTTGTTTTGATTTTATTGTAATAAGATAGAACAAGTAACTGGATACTGAACATTTTAATCTATTAAGAGAACGTTTCTCGGATACTTTAGAAAGACTCAGCACAGTCTTGATATTGAATAATGGATGACAAAAGCCTGTGATAAAGTGATGTCGTAGTATAAAACACTTACCTATGGAGCCTTGGCTTACTTAGCACTTTTCTAACAACCAAGTTATAGAGGAATCTCTTCCTCCGATCTATCAGAGAAATGGTTTGTGATCTTCTTAAGTGCAATGTTTTGTCATGCAGCCGTATTTATTCGAGTTGCTTTTGGACTGGCTAAAAGTAAAAATTATTGCTGTAGGATCAGCTGTTTTTTCCCTAAGAGGGCGGGATTGTTTTCAAGACGTGGGCTTATAAGATTGTCTGTTTCTTTGTGGATGGTCTCAGTTTACCGCTGTGATTACTATAGCTAAATTGAATTTTAGTCAAGAACAACGCGAATGACCACTTCCTACTACGTTAGAACTGCTACGATTATGACTTATAGTTTGTTTTCTCTTTATTCCTATTATTATGTTTGTTAGATATTTTTTTCGCAATTATTTTTCTAAATATGTCGAGAAAGATTGACCAATAGTATATCTCTGCAACAATACTTGAAAAGACAGAAACTATTTAGTGATGAGCAGGCAATAGATTCTATTCTAAGCATATATTGTAACAAGTTAAGTGCATTGGTATCACAGAGTTTCCCTTTACTTAAAATCGTTCTGTGCATTTCAGTTGTTTTTTGTTTGTTTGTTTGTTTATTTCGGTAAAAATTAACGATATAAAGATTGAACAAATAGAATGAAATACGCAATAGCACTTTTATTTATGTTACCTTTAGCCTAAATGATATTGATTAGATAAATAGGAGGAATAAAGTTTGGATGTATACCAATAAAATATTCTGCTGTTTTAGAACAAATGTATACCACTGTATATAGCCATTATATTACATCTTCTTATTTTGTCTGAGTAAATTGCTTCATAAGTATGTAGTTTACTTAGTCATAACTGAAACATTTAGTTTCTTAACCACATCGACTACATGGGTTAAATCTTACCAGCATTTTTTAAAGTGAATGTCAAGAACATTTGAATAAAATATTATAGGCTGTTTGCCCAAAAGATTTAACACTAAATTATTTTCTCTTGCAAAATGTCTAACCATTTACGTATTTTCCAAAACCTATATATTTTGCTTAATATGATCATTATTATGTTAAACACAATGAATAATATGATAAATCGTCACTAATAGATACGTTTTCTCATTTCGTTAATATAAATTTAGAGCTAAACTTGTCTTATTAAGTTCTGGTTTCAGTTTTTTTAATCAACAAATTTTCATTTATAAAAAATGTACTCATTCTTGGTCTTTGTTAAATATGTTTACCGTATATATATATATTTGGTAGAACATTAGATTTGTTACAGATTAAATGATTCAAATATTTTGAAACCTGAACTTTCAATCACTTGTATACTAAAACTGATATTATCTTAATTCCAACGAGGATAAACTTAACTGCCACGTTTGATGTTTAGAATAACAATATTTTTATTCTGAGTATATATCCTTGCTTTTAAACTAATCGAGGCTTAAAGGCTTAATCTCGCACATGATTAAAATGCATTTTATTTATAAACTTTGAAATATTTTTTTCAGTCACAGCAACTAACTATCAGTATGAGAAAACAAATAAATTATTTAGTAGTCTTATAACATTATTTCTAGTTTTATATTTATTTTTAAGCGAATTGTGTTACTGTGTATCAAACGACGTTTTTGGCACAATGAAAGATAAAGTCTTTATTAGTTGTTTTAGTCTCAAAAATATGTTAACATAGTTACTAATAAGGGTTCTGTGCTAGTACAATAGCAATCTTAATAACTGTAAACGAGATTTTAAAACCATATTTCTTAAAGAAAGTTTTGTTATTATTAAGTTCTTCATGAAAGCAAATTACGTTAGGTTGATGGAGTAACCATTATACAAATAATAATATATTAGTAATATATAAAGCCTTGAGACAATAAAACCAGACTCTTTCAAACAATTACATTATCGTTATTATATCAATAATAATTTTGTCATCTTTAGACATGTTGATTAAGTTCACATTTTTCTTCTTTTTTATTTTTTTATTTCACAATGTAAATAAATTATATCAAATTTCCAGTAGGGCACCAGCAAGACTAAAACTTGGTTTTCTTAATACACTGTCTTCCATAACAATTGAGACAACTTTTAAAATGCATTATGTTATGAAAGAATTTGGTTTAGTGGTGTACGTGTCAGGCTGCGATTCAAAGGGTTTAAGGTTCGAGACGTGATACTGCTGAACACACTTTACATTTTCAGCTGTAAGCGCGTTATGAAAATTAATTCGCTCATCGTGAACCCTCGATAAGAAATCAAGGAAGACTAGAAAAAAAGACTTTATATTGCTTGTAAGTTTGTAAAACTTTTGTAATAACTGTTATTGTAAATTAAATTGTTGTTTGTATATTGAAACATATTTGTATTAAAAAGAAAACTGTGTGTATCAATCTTGTTGGCAAATATCACAAATTGGAGATATATCGGCATATACTTAACAACTAAATTTAAATTATCATTTAGCTCTGTTTCAGACCATTCGAAATTGTAATACGTAACAACCTTGACTTGGCCGTTTACTCCAAGTGCATACAATGTGACGTTCAGGTCGAATATTTCAATTTCAACTTTAATCTAGATAATAATGTGCTAGTGCAGTCTGGGAAAACTATAAAATTAAGATGTTAATAGACCATACCTTCATCACTATCACATATCCCCATTTTCATAAAGACCTTGACTATATAGAACTTATATTTAAAACAAAAATCCGTTGAACAGATGTCAACATTATTTTGCCGCTTTATTACTGGCAGTCGCTTAAAAATGATATAATTTCCCAAAATTTTGCTAGTTTTACATACAAAACAAAAATTTGCAATTCTATGTAGCTATTTTTTCTGAAATGATTTTATTTTATTTTCAATACTTCCAGTATCATATTCTTATTCGTAACATATTAACGTTTAAAGGTTTTATGCTGGTCTTACTTGGCTAAAGCCACGTAGTAACTGAAGTAATGAGAAACTAAACAAGAAGGTATTGACAGATCTGGCTAAACTGTGGCCTGTGCCAACTTTGTATTTGGTGCCACTGCTCCTGTAAAATTGACAAGAACTGCTAATTGCAATATCGATTTTGGGGCTCCAAGGGCCGACCCTGCGTATTGAAGCTTGAAGAATGAATACATTACAATCTCCTGGCTAATTGCTGTTTACATTACTTAGCTATAGCATACTAGCTTGTGCTGGAGGACAGTAGGTTATAACTTGATTTAACTAGCTCGTAAATAACCCAAAGATGACATATTGTTTCATCCATTGATTTCTCACCTTTTTTTTTTATACTTGCGCAGATTTATTCATATGTGTATTTGAAAATTAATAGTCTAACATTTATGTTAATATCAACACCTTGAAAATGCGCAAGCACAACTGTCTGATATTGCTGATATTATTGATAACTATAAGATGATGAAAAAGCTTTTAAGATTTGTTGTGATCACATTTTAAGACTTTTATTGATTTCTTAATTTTTCCGAGTTTACCTATCTTAATGATTAAGATACGTTAAACCCCCCTTTTTTAATCATTAGCAAACTTGCAGGTTGTTGTTAAACTTATTAATATAACAATCTATTCCTGTTATAACTACTAACTTAATTGATGTAAGAAGATCTAATATATTTGGGACAAACTAGGTTTAGAGTTTATCCTATTTTGCACACACTAAGTTCAAAAATGGGTTTACATGTATTTGTGTAACTTTGGTTAACAAACTTACGGAATACCACAAACTTTAACAAATACGCGTATGTTTCGCTATAATACATAAATAAATACATAAGACTGTAATAACAGAAGCAGGTTAATTTACTTACATTGTTAAAGTCAGGAAGCCGCTCCGTTTGTTTTCAGTTCATAACAACCACTGAAAATTTTGTAATAAAGGAACCACATAAGAACCCAAGGAGTAAATGAAAATTGAGAAGATGATTCCCCAGAAGCACCTTTATACTCACACACATATGGAATGCGCGTGGACTTGTGCTTACATAAAGAGGTATATATAAAGGTCAAGTCTCAAATCAAAGGATACTCAATTTCACAAGTACTTAATCCTTTAATGACTCTGGATTTCACATAAAATGTTTATGTAATTCAGTTTGTTTGGTGATTAAATTCACAATAATTAGCCGGTGGACACAAAAAGTAGGTTAGGGCTAATAATATGAAAGGTAATTTAGTTACGGACGCTACGGTAATAGCTGAAAACATCCATTAATTCTTACAATGTATTAGAAAACCATGCCAGTTTTTACATTAAGACACGACTGTTACACTTAATGAGCTTTGATGTTAACTGCCCAGCTAGCAAAAAGAGTCAAACAATTAGACGTTATCATTAATTATTCAACTAATTATATCCCTCAGAAAAATAAGTTCGAGCTCTTATATAAATAAACTCTCCTCAGTTTCTTTTGACTTTCGCGTAAAGCTACACGAGGGCTATTTGCGCCAGCCGTCCCTAATTTAGAAGTGATCGACTAGAGGGAAGACAGTAGTCAACATCACCTACCACCAACCCTTGGGCTACTCTTTTACCAACAAATAGTGAGATTGTCCGTCACATTATAACGCTCCCCTCCCTGCTGAAAGGGCGAGCAAGTTCGGTGACAGGGATTTGAACCCACGAACCTCAGATTGCGAGTCGATCGCCCAAACAACCAGGTTGTGCCAGGCCCTTTTCCCCAATGACACACATCACATACACCCTTTTCTCTCTCTTCATATATACTGTATAATATTATTGCATTGTTGAGAATAAAGTCAGGTGATGGACAGCATATTTGGAGAGGTTAAGCCTTTCCAAGCCTCTTATATGCGCCGCCCCTGCCTCAGATAGCTGTTGTTGTTGTTTGTGATTAAGCACAAAGCTACACGAAGGGCTATCTGTGCTCTGCCCACCACTGGTATCGAAAACCGGTTTCTAGCTGTATAAGTCCGCAAACATACCACTGTGCCACTTGAAGGCACGTTCTAATAACTTCAAACATCTGTATATCCAAAGGAACCATTTAAACGATAACCTTATTATCATTAATTAACATAGTTTCTTAAGCTCTTTGAAATTTGTGGTATCTTTTGAAATTGACATATTTGTGCATTCAAAATCTTTAAAAAATTGTTTTTTAACATTAATTTCATATAAATATTTTTTAATATAATGTCATTTGTGAGAAGCAAAATTAAATAGTATTAGTGATACTTTTAGTTGTCAAACACCATTCTCTAAAAAAAATATAGCAAATTTCAGAAACTCGCGATCACTACCGATACAAACAAGACAAGCACTGTTTGGGCCACTTCTTGCCTTGAGGAATAAAACGTATTTTAGAATTAAATGATTTTTATTATTCTTATCTCTCGCTAAAATGCAAAAAAAAATTATAAAAAAATGCGTTTTGTATTCCTTAAAATAACAGTTAGATACCTAATTTAAGTTTTAAATTAAATATATGTATATTTATGCTGATAGGACCCTGTAAACCCTTGCTATCGTTCAACATAAATAAACTATGTTTGTTTGAAGTTAAGCACAAAGCTATGTAATGGGCTATCTGTGCTCTGCCCACCACGGGTATCGAAACCCGGTTTCTAGCGTTGTAAGTCCGAAGACGTTATTTGGCCCCCCTTACTGGGGGGCCAAATAAACTATGAGTTCCCGTTACTCTACTGCTTTGGGGCCTCGAGCTTACTAAGAATGGACCTGATCGCCTAGGGACTTTTTTAAAACTAACTTGAATACAGTGATGACGGTTTCTTACTTCTAAGCTACAAAGAATATCCCTGAAAAGATTTAACTAATTTTTTTTCTGAATTTGCGACTGATAATATTATCCATACAGTTTTTTCCTGAAGAAGAAAGGTCCACCTTTCGAAAGGTTTTTATCATTTTGTATGAAGACTTCTTGAACCTACATGTTTTTATGACATCACGTATTCATACAGAAATTATACTCACAGAAGAAACCTAAAGGTTATCATTAAAACAAATAATTTTCTAACAGTGTTATAAAATATCAATTCGATGTATCATAATAGCCTATATAATCATATTATATACTTAAGTGTCATAAATAATATAAATCTCAGTTACTAATGATTTGATTGCTTTACTGCTATACAAAAAATCTAAATACATATGTATGTGTGCGCACGTGAATATATGTATTTGTCGTACATAATCATCGTGGATACATACGTGATAAACTACTTTTATATCTCTTATAGTGTACTCTACTGTCATAAAAATATATGTACCTTACCTACCTACTAATCACACACAATATACCTTACCGTTGAAGTTAGTACAGACTGACTTTTTATAACGTGTTTCTCCCAAATTGACAATACATATACATCATACATATGTGTTGTACCTAATATGCTTTGTTGTCATAGACAAAGTTTATATCTAACTACGTGTATACTGCACGCTTGGTACTTTACTGCCATAGACAATATATATATATATATATATATATCATATATATCATGCACCGGTTACCTTAGTTTTCATGGTAATGTATACCACATTGTCTTATATTGGGCCCCCCAGTGGCACAGCGGGATGTCTGTGGACTTAAACGCTAGAAACCGGATTTCGATATCCGTGGTGGGCAGAGCACAGATAGCCCATTGTGTAGCTTTGTGCTTAACTTCAAACAAACAAACACTATATTAGAATATTTTTATTATCATAGACAATATAAATTACCCTTTCCCATGCACATATATATATATATTGTACACAGCATCAGCATCTATAAGCTTAACGCATCGTTTAGTAAAATAAGCATACTTGTTGCTGCTTTGAGCATTAGGTTCTTTACCATTACCATTGTTGTAAGGTAGAAAACTGAAATGTTTCCTACCGCATCAGTTTCTTTCAAAAATTCCTTTTCCAAAATTTAGTAATATATATATATTATTTATTTATCCCTTTCTTCATAGCGAACTTCATCTTCCAAGTGGAAAAAAGGGCTTATTTAATATGCTTTCCCGCATCAAACAGCCACTCCAAAACATTTATAGAAAAAAAAACATAGGAGGCTATTTTGCTGTAATTGTGTGACAACTACTTCTAAATACTAATAAGAATGAACTTGGCACACGTTTCGACGTTACCCAAGTTCCTTTAAGAACAGGTAAATAAATGTTTTTATATAATACTCCTTATCATTTTTTTTTTTATTCCTGTAAACTCCCAGTGGAGCATAGGGCCGTAACAACACCTCACCAACGGAAAGTTGTTGTTGCAGTTACTTGTAGCAGGTTGTTTTTTACGGGGTGGAGTTGCTTGCCCCGCGCCCAACCCTCCTCCTTATTTACCATTTATTGAAACCTCACTTATTATATTTCTCTTCACTAAGCAGTTTTCCCAATAAATCGGTAAAAACGTCTCTCAATATAATTTTCCTCAGAGTTTAGTCACTCATAAATTCCGGTAAGAACTCATTCAGTATACTTGCCCGTACTATATTATACAGTTTTCCCTAAAGAGTGATAAAATGAATGATATGTTTTCCCACACAATAATCTTCTTTTTGATATACGTCCTTGTAGCGCATTGTCATTCCTAAAGATCTGTTGAAATTCAATCAATATGTCTACAGTCGTGTTATTTTCAAGACAAGCTTAAGCTTTAACATATGAGAAACGGTGGTTTAGCGTATTCAGTATTTATCAACGCATGATACTACCTTCTTAAACCATTTAATGCCATACCTTGTATTTAAAGTCAGCTTTGCATGATATTTATAATCTTATCAGTAGTGTTTTTGTGAATAACAATAACTTGCATAACTCGGCACAAAAAGCTTCTTATCATAGCGAATTGTTTATTAAGCTGCACAATAAACTATCTGTTCCGCTAGGCCCCCATTTGCAAAGTTCGATCTCCGAATTTTAGTGTTATAAGCTTTCAAGCTTATCGCTGACCCACCACGGAGATTTTCAATACAATTCAGTATATATATAATTGGCTGTCTTATATATATATTATTTATGGACTTACAACCTTTAAATCCGTGGTTCGATCTCCGCGACGGTCACAACAAATAGCCTATTATGTCTTTTCTCTAAATCAAACAAGCAATATAAATATATATATATATATATAGAGAGAGAGAGGAGGGGGAAGAGAGTAAATTAATAATTTGTGTTTCTTTGATGATGTAAAAAAGCGTAATTCTTTACGAAACGATTCGACATGAGAGAGAAAACAAAGGTTTGAAATTATTAGTCATTGGCTGACCAAATAAAGAAACCTATATCAATATATTGTTACAAAGTGTGAGTGATTTCACCGTATTTGGCTTTGATTTAATTTATAAGAGTACTGGCAAAGTTGGAGGCCATTTTGGTACCTTAGATAAATACTGTTCATATCGATATAAAACTCGTTATAAATTTTGTTCTTGGTCATTTCATCTTGATATTGTCCAATTCTTTTTATATTGTTCACTACCAGTAGAGTTCATGTATTGCAATGTATCGATTAATTTTATGTTTCTGCCTGTAACAAGACTCGGTGTTTACGGACGAAAATGGGGGAATCACTAATTTTCCATGTAAAAACATAGGGAACCAAAACAATAGCTAGTAGGATAAATTGCAACTGATGCTATTTTTGTTTATATTATTTGTGACTCATCTGTTGTTAGTAGCCTGTAATCAACAACATCATTGGTTCAGAAGCAATATGGTGCAGAAATCGTTTAGAAAAAAAGAGTCTAAAAAAGTCAACAGTAGAGAAGATTGTTAAGAAGCAGGAGTCATTTATCAACGTTTCCCTCAGTCATGAGAACTAGTCCTTTTGTATTTTGTAAGTTCTATTCTATTCTTTCTTTAAACCTAGTTTCATTAACAGTATTGGTCAAATTGCTTAATATTTGAGCCAAGTCAAATGAATTT